GGGGAAATCAGGGGAAAATGGTAAAAAATGGGGGGAAATCAGGAAAATGGGATTATCGGGGGGATTTTGGGGGGAAGTCAGGGGAAAATGGGATTATTGGGGGATTTTGCGGGAAAAGTGGGGGAAAATGGCGGACAATAGAGAAAATTGGGATAAAAGGGGGGAAATGGGGAAAAATATGGGGATAAATGGGGGAAAATGGGGAGAAGGAGATTAAAGGGGGAGAAATGGGGTAAAAGTGGGGGAAAAAGAGGATTTGGGGTTTCTGTGTTTGGGGTTTCAGGGATTTGGAGTTTTGGGGATTTGGGGTTTCTGGAATTTGGGATTTCGGGATTTGGGGTTTCAGTTTTTGTGTTTTCAGGATTTGGGGTTTCTGGGATTTGAGATTTCGGGATTTGGAGTTTTGGTGCTTTGGGGTTTCTGGCATTTGGGGTTTGGGATTTGGGATTTCAGGATTTGGGATTTGGGATCAGGGTCTCACCCAGATGAGGGATTTGGGATTTGGGATTTTGGGATTTCAGATTTGGGATTGGGGTCTCACCCAGATGAGGGATTTGGGATTTGGGATTTGGGGGATTTGGGGTTTGGGATTTGGGATTTCAGGATTTGGGATTTGGGATTTGGGATTTGGGGTGGGGTCTCACCCAGATGAGGGATTTTGGGATTTCAGGATTTGGGATTTTGGGATTTGGAATTTGGGATTTGGGGTCTCACCCAGATGAGGGATTTTGGGATTTGGGATTTTGGGATTTGGGATTTTGGGATTTTGGGATTTGGGGTCTCACCCAGATGAGGGCTTTGATCACTCTCCGGGTGGTCACCGTGTACTCCTCGATCAGCTCCGCCAGGTAATAGAGCCCGGCCGCTGCGGGACAGGACACCTGGCACCGCGGGCACCGCGGGCACCCACACGGGCACCCACATGGGCACCCACACGGGCACCCACACGGGCACCCAGGGGATACCGCAGGCACCCACACGGGCACCAACACGGGCACCCACACGGGCACCCACATGGGCACCCACATGGGCACCCACACAGGCACCGCGGGTACCCACACGGGCACCCACACAGGCACCGCGGGCACCCATACGGGCACCAACACGGGCACCCACATGGTCACCCACATGGGCACCCACACGGGCACCCAGGGGACACCGCGGGCACCCACACGGGCACCCACATGGGCACCCACACAGGCACCCACATGGGCACCCACACAGGCACTGCGGGCACCCACACGGGCACCCAGGGGACACCGCGGGCACCCACACGGGCACCGCGGGCACCATGGGAACAATGGGGACACTGCTGACACCATGGGGACACTCCTGGCACCAACATGGGCACCACTGGTACCATGGGGACACTGCTGGTGCCATGGGGACACTGCTGGCACCACTGGCACCATGGGGACAACATGGGCACCATGGGGACACTGCTGGTACCATGGGGACACTGCTGGTACCATGGGGACACCGCTGGTACCACCACTGGCACCATGGGGACACTGCTGGCAGCATGGGGACACCCATGGCACCACCATGGGGACGCCACTGGCACCATGGGGACACCACTGGTACCACCATGAGGACACGCTGGCACCACCATGGGGACACCACGGGGACACCGCTGGCACCACGGGGACACTGCTGGCACCAGCCATGGTGGCTCAGGGACACGCAGGGACCCCAAATCTTGGGGACACTGGGAAGGTTTGGGGACACCCAGGGACCCCCAAATCTTGGGGACAATTTAAGGGCTTGGGGACACCCAGGGACCCCCAAAGTTGGGGACACTTGGAGCCCCCAGGGGCACCCAGGGACCCCAAAACTTGGGGACACTCAGAGCCCCTGGGGACTCCCAGAGACCCCCAAATTTGGGGACACTGGGAGGGTTTGGGGACCCCCAAATCTTGGGGACATCCGGAAGACTTGGGGACACCCAGAGACGCCAAATCTTGGGGACATCCTGAAGAGTTGGGGACACCCAGAGACGCCAAATCTTGGGGACACTCCATGAGCTTGGGGACACCAAGGAACTCCAAATCTTGGGGACAATCTGAGGATTTGGGGACACCCAGGGACCCCAAATCTCAGCGACGTTCTAAGGATTTGGGGACACCAGGGAACCCTAAATCCTGGGGACACTGGGAGCCCCTGGGGACACCAGGGACCCCCAAAGTTGGGGACATTTTAAGGGCTTGGGGACACCCAGAGACCCCAAAACTTGGGGACATCCTGAAGACTTGGGGACACAGAGGGACTCCAAATCCTGGGGACACTCGGAGCCCTTGGGGACACCAGGGACCCCAAAACTTGGGGACACTTGGAGCCCAGACAACCAGGGACCCCAAATCCCTGGGACAATTTAAGGGCTTGGGGACACCAAGGAACCCCCAAATGCTGGGGACACTCTGAGGGTTTGGGGACACTAGGGACCCCAAATCCTGGGGACAGTTTAAGGGTTTGGGGACACCAGGGACCCCCAAATCCTGGGAGGGTTTGGGGACACCAGGGACCCCCAAATGCTGGGGACACTGGGAGGGTTTGGGGACACCAGGGACCCCCAAACTTGGGGACACTCTGAGGGTTTGGGGACACCAGCGACCCCCAAACTTGGGGACACTGGGAGGGTTTGGGGACACCAGGGACCCCCAAATCCTGGGAGGGTTTGGGGACACCAGGGACCCCCAAATCCTGGGAGGGTTTGGGGACACCAGGGACCCCCAAATCCTGGGAGGGTTTGGGGACACCAGCGACCCCAAATCCCGGGGACACTCCTCGCCCTCGGTGCCACCGCGTCCCCCCCACTCCCCGTTCCCGCGGCGCCCGGGGCGCGCTCACCGATGGCCAAGGTGACGAAGGCCACCTGCAGCAGCAGCGACAGCCAGCTCAGCACGTACAGGAACCACATGGCGCCGCCGCTCCCGGCGCCGCTCCCGGGGCCCCGCGGAACCGGCGAGACGCGGCACCGGAAGCAGCGAGAGGCGGCACCGGAAGCAGCGAGAGGCGGCACCGGAAGTAAAGACAGGCGGCACCGGAAGTAAAGACAGGCGGCACCGGAAGCAGCTATACGGGGGGGGGACGCACAGCGCCCCCTGGCGGCCCGGGGGACTCCAGTGGCCAAATGGGGGCCCAAGGGCGGGGGGACCCCAAAATGGGCGGGGGGACCCCAAAATTGGTGGGGGGACCCCAAAAGGGCGGGGGAGGCGCTAATATGGGAGGGGGGACCCCAAAATGGGAGGGGGGACCCCAAAATGGGCGGGGGGACCCCAAAATGGGAGGGGGGACCCCAAAATTGGTGGGGGGACCCCAAAATGGGAGGGAGGGCCCCAAAATTGGTGGGGGGGACCCAAAATGGGCGGGGGGTCCCTAAAACGGGAGGAGGGACCCCAAAATGGGCAGGGGGACCCCAAAATGGGAGGGGGGACCCTAAAATAGGAGGGGGGACCCCAAAATTGGCGGGGGGCTCCCAAAAGGGTGGGGGGGACCACTAAAATGGGCAGGGGAACCTAAAAGGGAAGGGGGGACCCCAAAATAAGAGGGGGGACCCCAAAATGGGAGGTGGGACCCTAAAATGGAAGAGGGACCCCCAAAATGGCCGGGGGGACCCCAAAACTGGAGGAGGGGCCCCAAAAGGGGGAGGGGGATCCCAAAATGGGCGGGGGACTCCAAAATGGGAGGGGGGACCCCAAAACACGGCAGGGACCCCCAAAACCCTACAGAGACCCCAAAACGCAGAGGGACCCCCACCAAAATGTGTAGGGACCCCAAAAACCATTGAGGGACCCCAAAAACGCCACCGGGCTGGACCGGGAGAGGTTTTGGGGTTTTGGGGTTTTGGGGTCGGGGGGTTCTTTTTGGGGTGCTGGGGGCCAATTTTGGGGTCTCCTTTTGGGGTCCTGAAGTCATTTTGGGGTGCTGGGGGGGTCGTTTTTGGGGTGTTGGGGTGCTCAGTTTGGGGTCTCGTTTTGGGGTCCTGGAGGGCTCCTTTTGGGGTTTTGGGGTGCTCATTTTGGGGTTTTGGGGCGCTCGTTTTGGGGTGTTCTGGGGTTGGGTTTGGGGTCTCGTTTTGGGGTGCCGGCGGTTCATTTTTGGGGTTTTGGGGTGCTCGTTTTGGGGTTTTGGGGGCTCGTTTTGGGGTTTTGGGGCGCTCGTTTTGGGGTTTTGGGGCGCTCGTTTTGGGGTGTTCTGGGGTTGGGTTCGGGGTCTCATTTTGGGGTGCCGGCGGTTCATTTTTGGGGTTTTGGGGGCTCCTTTTGGGGTTCCGGGGCCCAGCACCCCCAGGCCGCAGCACCCCGGGAATTTTTGGGGGAACCCCCAAATGAAGCCCCCCCGAACCCCCCCGTGAGACAGAGGGGACAAAGGGGGGGTGACAAAATGGGGGGACAAAACAACAAATACTCCGAATACCCCAAACCCCAAAAAACCCCAAATATCCCAAACACTTCAATATGGCGCTCCTCACCTCCACCCCTCCCTGTCACCCCCAAATTCCCAAATCCCCATGTCCCCAAATCCCAAATCTCCAAATCCCAAATTCCCAAATCCCCGTGTCCCCAAATCCCAAATTCCCAAATCCCCATGTCCCAAAAATCCCTGTGCCCAAAACCCCAAATCCCCAAACCCCCAAATCCCAATGTCCCCAAATCCCCAAAACCCAAATCCCCAAACCCCCAAATCCCAATGTCCCCAAATCCCTAAATCCCAAATCCCCAAACCCCCAAATCCCAATGTCCCCAAATCCCCAAAACCCAAATCCCCAAAACCCCAAATCCCCAAATCCCCAAAACGCCAAAATCCCAAATCCCCAAATCTCAAATCCCCAAATCCCAAACCCCCAAATCCCCCTCTCCCTAATTCCCCAAATCCCAAATCCCCAAATCCCAATCCCCAAATCCCAAATCCCTGCTCAGCTCCATCCCCCATTTGGGACCCTCAGAGCTGCGTGTGGGGTCATTTTTGGGGTCATTTTTGGGGTCATTTTTAGGTTTATTTTTAGGGTCATTTTTTGGGTCATTTTACACCTATTTTTAGGTCTATTTTTTGCTATTTTCCCCTTTTTTTTTATAGGATTTTTTTTCTCTTTTCCCATTTCCACTCCGTGACCAAAACCCCGCAAAGTTCCGGGCATGAAAAATAAAATAAAAATGGGCGTGAAAAATAAAAATAAAAATAAAAATAAAAATAAGCATCAAAAATAAAATAAAAATGTGCGTGAAAAATAAAAATAAAAATGGGCGTGAAAAATAAAATAAAAATGGGTGTGAAAAATAAAAATAAAAACGGGCATGAAAAATAAAATAAAAATCCTACACGTCGCCATGGATGGGGTTTTGGTCCCCCCAAATCCCAAATCTCCCTCTGGATGGTTTTTCCCACAAATCCCATCAATCCCCACAATGGGGTTTTGTGTCCCAGCCCCACCAATGGGATTTTGTCCCCAAACTCCTGAACGTCCCCACGGATGGGAATTGGCCCTCAGCGCCCCCCACCTCCCCTGTGTGATTCCCATTCCCATTCCCAATCCCATCCCCATTCCCATTCCCATTCCCATTCCCATTCCCATTCCACTTCCATCCCGTTCCCATTCCCATCCCATTCCCATTCCCCCATTCCCCATCCCTGTTCCCACTCCCCCATCATGGTTCCCGTTCCCATTCCCCCATTCCCACTCCCAATCCCGTCCCCATTCCCATTCCTGTCCCCATTCCCATCCCCATTTCCACCCCATTCCCATCCCATTCTCATTCCATTCCCATTCCCATTCCCATTCCCATTCCCGTCCTCATTCCCCCATCCCAGTTCTTGATCCCATTCCCCCATTTCCACTCTCAATCTCATCCCCATCCCCATTCCCATCCCATTCTCACTCTCATTCCCGTTCCCATTCCCATTCCTCTTCCATCCCCATTCCCCATCCCTGTTCCCATTCCCCCATCCCCATTCCTGATCCCATTACTGTTCCCATTCCCTCATTCCCATTCCCCCATCCCAGTTCCCATTCCCATTCCCATTCCCCCATTCCCCCATCCCAGTTCCCATTCCCATTCCCCCATCCCAGTTCCCATTCCCATTCCTATTCCCTATCCCTGTTCCCATTCCCCATCTCCGTCCCCATTCCCGTTCCCATTCCCCCATCCCGGTTCCCATTCCCATTCCACCACTCCCCATCCTCATTCCCATTCCCATTCCTGTTCCCATTCCCCCATTCCTGGTTCTCATTCCCCCAATTCCCCATCCCCATCCCCATTCCCCTGTCCCCATTCCCGTTCCCATTCCCATTCCCATTTCCCCATTCCCCATCCCCACTCCTGTCCCCATTCCCCTGTCCCCATTCCCGTTCCCATCCCCATTCCCATTCCCATTTCCCCATCCGCATCCCCGTCCCCACTCCTGTCCCCATTCCCCCATTCCCGTTCCCATTCCCATTCCACCATTCCCCTGTCCCCATTCCCATTCCCGTTCCCGTTCCCATTCCCATTCCACCATTCCCGTTTCCGTTCCCCCATTCCCCATTCCCATTCCACCATTCCCATTTCCCCATTTCCCCATTCCCCTGTCCCCACTCCTGTCCCCATTCCCCCACTCCCGTTCCCGTTCCCGCTGTCCCGGCCGCGCTGCCGCGGGCTGCCCGAGCCGCCCCCGGTCCCCCCGGTCCCCCCGGTCCCCCCGGTCCCCCTGTCCC